ACCGCTCCATCATTTCACTAAGTCTCTTGCTTCACTCGCAATTTAACTCCCTTAATTAAACCATTAATCTAATTATATATTAAAAAAAAAATTTTCAAAGAATGGATATTAGTAGATTTTCCTTTTTTTAACAATTTTAAAATGTATAAAATATATATTTTTAACGTTTTTGCTAGTTTAGAAACTTCTGACATATTATTTTATTCGTCAAAAAAATAAAACTTTACAATTGAGAGATATTGCACATATAAAATAATAAAAAATTTATTTTAAAATTAAGTTGTAACTCATAACTGAAAATTTAACTATCTGTGATTACTGTCAACACGGTGATTTCATAAATGAGTAATTCTCAAAAGTTATTGAGGAAACAGTATTTTTCTTATCAAATAAAATTTTATTATCTCAACTAAATTTTAAATGTTTATTATGTTTCGTAGAGTACATTTAAATAACCCGGTATGGCTCAGTATAAGTATAGCTCGACCGTCTTTGATTTGTACTGATAAATCAGGTTGGGGCAAATGTCAAGTTGCTCTCACTTCAAATGACGCCACTGAAATTAATGGATTAACATTTTGAAGTTAAATACATTTTAATTAATTGCGAAAGTTTGGATTGAATACTATAATACTCATATTACATACATTATTTTTCTTATTATTTATTTATTTTGTGATAATTAAATAAAGATTTTATATTTATTAAACTACTTAATGTACATGTAAAGATAGGTTTGTGAGAGGGTTTTAAGAAAAATTGTCTCGTGACACACATTTTTGGAAGTTTTGGAAAAAAAACATTAACCTCATTGATGATATGATGATTCTCGTAAATCATAGATACAACTAGGGGATCTTAGAGACCTCCCTTCAAAAAACCAAATTAGACATCATGTTAACTGTTACATACAAATTTTTTAACGTGGGTTGAGGAGGTTCAATCCTCCATTATAATATTTTTTGATGGAATCAAACTAAATTAAAAATTATCGGTATAAGATACCTTCTCTCACTATATAAATTATCTATGCCTCTTTGTAAATACCTTAAATTTATAGAAGGCTGCTTAAAATCGGTTATGCATTCTAATATTATAAAACTGTTAAATAAAAATTGCACAAAATGTTACTACATTTTTGAAAATATGTTATTATTGGAAATCACATTAAGCTTGCGGAACTTATTGAAAATCAGAAACACTTGTTAATGTTATCCAGTACTTCGCATTTCTCTGTTTTATTGTTCCAACATTGGCATGAGGTGAGATGCCATTCTGGTTCGAAATTCAGAATGAATACGGTGGCCCGCCAATTTTGGATAAATTCTGCTCGGAAGATTGCAAGGAAGATAATTTGAGTATGTGTAGTATGTTAGATTTTTGATAATTCATCCTTAATCCGTTATGGCTTATTTACGTACGTTCAGAATTCTAGGCAGTTATTCCTTCTCTAATGCCGGAATAAATTACGCAGGGGCTTTTTTAATGAAAGATCAACGTTTATGAAAAGCTAGAGAGCATAAGGTATATGTGTCCATGTTCATATGTATAAGCACTAAAGCGGTACATGTAGAAGTTGTTTCAGACTTGTTAACGGTAATTAACAGTAATTCGCATTTCTGTGTTTTGTTGTTCCGACATTGGCATGAGGTGAGATGCCATTCTGGTTCGAAATTCAGAATGAATACGGTGGCCCGCCAATTTTGGATAAATTCTGCTCGGAAGATTGCAAGGAAGATAATTTGAGTATGTGTAGTATGTTAGATTTTTGATAATTCATCCTTAATCCGTTATGGCTTATTTACGTACGTTCAGAATTCTAGGCAGTTATTCCTTCTCTAATGCCGGAATAAATTACGCAGGGGCTTTTTTAATGAAAGATCAACGTTTATGAAAAGCTAGAGAGCATAAGGTATATGTGTCCATGTTCATATGTATAAGCACTAAAGCGGTACATGTAGAAGTTGTTTCAGACTTGTTAACGGCAATTATCAGTAATTCGCATTTCTGTGTTTTGTTGTTCCGACATTGGCATGAGGTGAGATGCCATTCTGGTTCGAAATTCAGAATGAATACGGTGGCCCGCCAATTTTGGATAAATTCTGCTCAGAAGATTGCAAAATTGGCAATAAAAAAAAATTATAAATGAAATCCCATATTTTTAAAACTTATTTAAAGGAGTTGGTATGGTAATAGGGTAACGAGAGCCTTCTTAAATATTCTTTTTTTGTTTACAACTACATAAAAATACACACTAACACATTGCACAACTACTTGGTTCTTTCATCAATTACATTAATTTAATCACTGGTATTTTTATCTTACCATTTATTGTATTCAACTGAACGACCCAGACGACCCCTTCGTCACTAGAGAACATTTTTAATACGCCCAAGATGCCACCGTAAATGGGGGTTGTCTTGCTTGATAATAACCATATCTCCAATGGAATCACCTGTGGACCATCGATTCCTAGTTTAAAGAGAGTTTAAGTATTCATTTAACCACCTCTTCCAGATGGCCTGATAACACTGTTTTAATAAAGTTCATCGTAACGCTAAATCCTTCTTAGTTTCTGGAACTTCCTCTCCGGGTGTAGCTAATAGAGGATACCAAATAAAAAAATGCCCTGGAGTTCTACATTCTACATCATTACTCACTGATTGGGCTCAAAGGGCGTGAGTTAAGTACGGCCTCGACTAGAGTTATTATTGTCACCAATCCCTCGTATACATAAGTTCCTATTGTCTGGAACAGAAGCGACTTCAGTGACTTAACTGCCACTTCGCATAATATTCTGAAGTATGACGTGTTAGGTAAATTGAAATTTCAGTTGCAAGAAATTACATCGAATCAGTAGCTTCGACTTTTAGGGGCGTTAACAAACTGACGTAATAGTTTGTCCGTGACGAAAATATAGTACTGCAATCTGAATAAATTTGGTTCGGCAATCGACTAACTAATCTCTCTAAAGTCGCTAAAAAAACTGCCGTTAACAAGTCTGAAACAACTTCTACATGTACCGCTTTAGTGCTTATACATATGAACATGGACACATATACCTTATGCTCTCTAGCTTTTCATAAACGTTGATCTTTCATTAAAAAAGCCCCTGCGTAATTTATTCCGGCATTAGAGAAGGAATAACTGCCTAGAATTCTGAACGTACGTAAATAAGCCATAACGGATTAAGGATGAATTATCAAAAATCTAACATACTACACATACTCAAATTATCTTCCTTGCAATCTTCCGAGCAGAATTTATCCAAAATTGGCGGGCCACCGTATTCATTCTGAATTTCGAACCAGAATGGCATCTCACCTCATGCCAATGTTGGAACAATAAAACAGAGAAATGCGAAGTACTGGATAACATTAACAAGTGTTTCTGATTTTCAATAAGTTCCGCAAGCTTAATGTGATTTCCAACACGGATAAGATCTAATGAGGGAAAAAGTCTAGCATACAACATTAAAGATATTCTACGTCCTCATTGTAATTCTGCCTGTAAAATATATCAATTGTGCATGCACACACAGCTTAGAGTGAAGTTGTAATTTCATTTTGTGGTGATGTCTTTCCATGGCGTTTTGAAATGAATTGCCACATCCACATAATAACACGTACCAATCGACTATATAACAATAGCCGTTTAAATCAGTCAATCAACGGCGTGCTTATGCTTACTAAGGCAACAACTTTACATTTTACATCTAGTAATTCAGAAACTAATAAGACAGAAAAGGAAGATTGCTATTGATCAAAGGTTTTTGTATAATAATATCAAACTTAGCTGAGATGGTATTACTCCCCTAAAAGTACAACCCGTTGGATTGATATTAGTCCTTACATAACCTCACAGACAATCTAATAACAAATTATGTATGTGATCCGGTTCAACACAAATATAGATCCTAGTACTTATGACCATGGAACGAGACCAAACATAAGTCGTAGATATAGGAAGAAGGAGTAACAAAAACTATTGTATCCGATCTATCCACTAGTCCAAGAATAACGCAGCATATAATATCAAACGGAAAATTGTTGTATGTTTACCATATAACATCATCGCTTTGAATGTAGTACCACATATTATCCTGGGAATTTAAATCTAATAGTTCGTCTAAAAATTTCGTCCATTGTTTAATGATTGAAGTTGACATTTCCTCGTCCTAATCCAAACCACTTCTCTATATATCTAGCATGATTGTTTTTTTTCTAAAATATAACCAGGAAATAAAACCAAGGCGGTCGAACAGACGAGCAGTGACAGACAATATACCACGCTTAATCATAATCACTTTTAGCAATGTCGTAAGAAAATTCTTTACTATACGATAATCAGCACATACCCAACATTTATATTAACTTTCAATTAATAGTCGCCGAAACTAAGTTGAAAGCCAAAGAAAAGAAAATTGTATTTCAACAAATGAATAGTAGACTAATAAATTAAACGCTAATAAAGCAATCAGCAACAGCATGGCTGTTGCTAAAATGAGTCTTAAAAATATAATAGAGACAGGTTTATTCGTAAAGGTACATAAGTGGAAAAAGTCCCTACCCCCTTGAAAATTAATTCTAGGATTACCCTGAATACTACAATAATTTACTGTCAAAATAACATATACTGTCAAAATTATTAATATAAATAATGCACACTTAATTTTAAAATCTTCATTTGGCACATTCAAATTTAAAATATTAACTATATAAAATCTAGCATATTTGTAACTCACTCTAGTAGATTTTACCAAAAATTATGTTTAATGTTGTTGAAGGGAGAGGTCGGGGTATAGTAATAGAAACCTAATTTAATATCAGTGATTATTTTATGTAATTTATAATTTACTTTATTGAGAATATTATATATTGTAACATAATTGAAATAATTCCATTTGTAAACTCAGAAAAATGTATTAAGTTCATAAAATATGTATGCATGAAAAATACAAAAATGTTTTTGCATTGTTTCATAAAAATATTTTGCTTTTAACTACTTATTTTAAACTGATTTTTAATTCTTTATTAAAACTTTTTTGAAAATAATTCAATCAGATAAATTTAATTAGTAACATATAAAATTTTTTGGTTAACTGTAATCCAAATAACTCCATCCCAACGTTTTATATAAATTTTTTTTTGTTCTTCACAGCTCCGGGTCTTGGATAAACCAGATACCAAGATGAACTGGACTATTAGGAAAGTGATATGTGGAGTGGTTTCCTGTTGCCTTCTGCACAGTGGACATGGTGATTTTTGTTACTGTAAAATGTACCATTTAAAATTTAATATTGTAAATATTTATAAAAAAGAAACGTAATTCTAATTATCATTAGTTAAAACCCTGTACGTAATATCTAATGTTATAATGTGTTAAAAATTAGTATCTAGACAAATAATCAAACTAATAAAAATGAAATAAAACTAGCCATTCAATAAAGTAAATAAAATAAAATTTCAATATAATATCATTTAACTTAATACACAACACTTTAAGTACATTACTAAGTACAATAACAAATATTTTTTACTTTTTTGTTAAGAAAATTGTGATTTTCATTTCATAAGATCTAATTAAACAGATAAAAAGTTTATTAATTAGTCACTACAAAGAAATCGATAACTTATTTTTAATATTTTACTTGACTGGAAAATTCAAAACTATCTTTTGTTAAATATGAGTCACAAAGATTTTAGTAAAATATTTACACAACTCAATTTAACTAAATATATAAATAAACATTCAATAAGTTATTATACGAACAAAAATGTCTCATTTCATAAAAATACAATGAAAATAAATAAATACATACTATCAAAACTGTATTACAACTTTTAATTCATTTATTAATAAATAATCTAAGTATTTCCTCAACAAGAATATATTTATGTAAGTTTAAATGATTCTAGCTTCAAGATAAAAAAAAATTTAATTTATATTTAAAAAAAGGCATCATATTAATTTTCTTGTCCAATAAGAACTTTTTGGTATATATCCTTATCTATTAAAAATCTCTTTTAGATTTGCTTTAATATTTTCTATAAAACCAATGCCATGTAAAATTGACTACCATAATGTTTCAGATTTGTTGTTTATTATTATGAGGATTGGTTACAGATTATAAGATTGCTATTTAGCTATAATTTAATTAATGTAAACTATAACTATATATTGATTCCACGTATAACTATGAATTGCATCATAATGGAATCGAAATACATCAATTTCAACTGGTGGATGATGTTGGCGCCATCAAACACATATTAGTTGGCCCCACTGTGTCATGCTATCAAATACACGATGTCAGATGGTGGTCAACATATGTACCGGTGTGATAGTTGAGCCGTAGATCTCGTGATCGTATAGTTATTAAAAGAAATGTATTTGTTATTTTATAAATTGAACTTCTTCCATTTTTATGTTTATGGTTGTTTTATCAAAAGATGATTAATTTTAGTGGCCGCGGTCATTTAATATTGAAACAATTGACACATTTGGTGTTCAGTTATTGAGCTGCCGTACTTTTCGGTAATTTACGATCGTTTTCGCAATTGGCATTACGTCAACACGGGAACGCTTTGATAAATAAATGGGGGTCGCATACAGAGAAGGACCATGTCGGATTGCTATACATATATACGAATATTTATCTCTTGTTTACAATTACTACATATATTATTGTTAAAGTAATTGAATTGATTTGTTTATCTTATTTATTATATGTTTCATTCATTATATAAAGTGGAGATGCCCAATGTTATAAATTATTAAATCATATAAAATATTAGAATAATGTCAAATTGTGTTAGTGTGTTGAGTTTATTGTAGCCAATAAACTACCTTCACTAATAGTTATCTATGGTAAACAACAATTGGTTTTGAATAGTTTTAAAACATAGGTTTACATTCGCAAATTTTAGTAAGGTTTGATATTAAATATTACAAAATTAATATTCTGATTAACTTATAGCTATTGTATTTGGATAATTGATCAAAAATCTAAAAAAAAACTATCAGCCCTAATAGCGCACATTTTATTTGTGAACTTAGTTAGAAATAATTACAATTAAGACTTCTTAATATAAGTGAAAGCTATAGTAACCCACCATGCTATTGGTGGGATTTATCATTTTTATCAGATAACCTCACTTGTTTTTGAAAATAAACAGCTAGGAAATCTATTACTATTATATTAACAAGTTTAACTAGCTTATGCAAATCCTACACGCCCATTTTATTGAATCTAATTATTAGAAGTGCTATAGTTACTATTCAACGAGATATTTTTTTCTTTTTTTTGAAAATTATTTGTCACTATCTTTAAAAATGCGTTTAGGAAGTATTGTTGCTGATTTTACAGCAGAATCTACCCAGGGTCCAATATCTTTTTACAATTGGATTGGCGATTCGTAAGTTATTTATTGCAAATAATAACTGACTTTGATTATCTATGAATTTACAAATAACATTAAATATTATAAATCATTTTAATTATAATTTATTTATTATAACTTGTGCATGTACTTGGCGAAATAAATGACAAGTCTTATAATTTTTGATGATCAATTATATTTAAAAATCAATCGGTTGTATTCTTGGATTAAATTATAGCCTATTTTGTGTAATTTTCTTTTTTAAAATAAAAATTAAATATTTTTTTTTGAGATAGGCTATTTATTTTTACAATTTTAATTGATTAGTCAACTACAAGTTTCAGCAATGCACTCTTCTTAAATGCAATCATCAAAATCAATGAATAATTTTTTTTCTAAAACCAATTGAAATTCCATTTTTGTTACAGTTTGAACCTGAAAATTTAATATTTAAAAAAATAATCTTTTTAAAATTTACAATAAAGGATACTAAAATAATTTTTAATACATGAAATTGTTTATGATAATATAATTCCAAACATGTTCAATTTATTTACTCATTCTAAGTATTTATTATAGGCAGTCCATAGAGTACTTATTTTAATCTTCTTATTGACCTATCATTTATTTTCTCAGAAAGTGTTAAAATTGTGAATAGATAAGCCATCCTAAAAAAATATTAAAATTTTATATTAAAAAAAAAAAAATGTAATTTGATACACTTTTAAAAGTAATAAAAGTTAAACATGTTTTGAGAATCATAAGTTATAAGAGCTATGAGTTAGATCTGTCTACACACTGTTGACTATATAGCAAAATCTTAAGCAAATCAAGTTTAACTAAATTTACAAGAGAAGTACATAACTTCTCTTGTAAAGTTTTCTATTTTTTTTCTGTTAATTTTGATCAATACTATTATAAAATTTTCATGAAATATTTTTCTTATGATAATTTTAAAAGTAAAAAAAAAAATGTGTACTCTTTTTGTTTAAAAATAAGTAAAAATTTTGACTTGTGATGTATTGCCATTAAGCTGATAACATATACTTTATATTTATGTATAACTATAATTATAAAATTATTAGTTATATATAAATTTAAAAAAATAATAGCAAATTGATGACTTTATTTATATAAAATTATCTTAGTTTTTCTGTATGTTTTATTGTTATCACTTATTTTTCTAATTTTTAAATTTGTTTTGTTTATATACAAACGGTTAATTTAAATTTAGTTTATTGTGACTTTTTGAAGTAACAACTACAAATGTGTTGAATTCTTATTCTAATAGTAGTTATGTGTCTATGTAAGTTTATTATTTTAGTTTATAAGTAAAGTAAAAAAAGTATAAGTTTTTGTATTTTTATTTATAGTTGGTGTTTATTTTTCTCACATCCTGCTGATTTTACACCAGTTTGTACTACTGAATTAGGAAAATTGGCTGTCTTAAGTGATGAATTTAAAAAAAGGAATGTCAAACTTTTAGGATTATCATGTGACAAGATAGAAAGTCATTTAAATTGGATTGAGGTATATTCAAACATCATAAAACTATAATTTTACTTTAAATAACAACTAGCATAAACTCGATACAAGTTCAATGTAATTTCCATTATAGTACTTAAACAATATGTACTAATAATATATCATTGAATAAAAAGCAAATTTTAAACTGCAAGATTTGTAAAAAAACAACTTAATATTAAGCAAATGGTAAACTAGAAGTTTATAGTTTTAACAAAATGTTTCCAAAAAAAATTACATATAGGTAAGTTATTAGTGGGAAAAACAGATAGATAAAAAAAGTTGCTGGGTTGGTAAAGTGCCTTTGAACCTTTTTTTCATTAATTTTTAATGATAAACTAAAAATTAATTTTTGATTAAATTGGATTTTATAGGATATCAAATCTTATTGTCATGATATTAAAGGAGAATTTCCATATCCAATAATTGGTGATAGCAAACGTGAATTAGCTGTAAAGTTAAATATGATATCTGAAGAAGATAAAGATAATCTAGATTATGCTATGACCATTCGCTCTCTTTATATAATAGGACCTGATAAGAGAATAAAACTTATGATGATTTACCCAACCAGTACTGGGCGTAATACGCAGTAAGTCTTAACAATTTTAAAAAGTTGTACTTTTTTTTATATCAACTACTTTAAACATATCCAGTTTTATTTGCATTTTTTATTTGTTTAAAGTATTATATTGTGAATTAAACTCATTAATATTTGCAAGTAATCATAGATAGGTATTTAAGAGATGAACATAAATTTGATTATACCAATGAATTGCAATATATGAATCTGTGGATTTATCAAAAATAAATTATAGCTAAAACATAAAATCTAAAATTTGTGCATATTTCAGGGAAATATTGCGTTGCATTGATTCACTTCAACTTGTTCACAAATTAAAAACTGTTGCTACACCAGCAAATTGGGTGGTATGTAGATTTAGAGATTTTTATTATTTTTATACTTGTTATTTTCATTGAAATATTATATATATATTTTAGCCGGGTGAAAAAGTAATGATTTTGCCGTCAGTTAAAGATGAAGATCTAGATGAACTATTTCCAAATGGTCATGATAAGTGTGCAATGCCATCAAAAGTCAACTACTTAAGAACAACTACAGATTATTAAATATAATATTAATTTGTATATCATTATATATTATGATAAAAATGATTAAATAGTTTAATTGTTCCAAATATATTGTAGCATAATCATTTTCATTTAAAAAAAAACTTTGTATTGTACTTTAAAACTTTGAATTTTTTAGTTAAATTACATGTATAATATACAAGGGATTATATTAACTTGTAGCTAATGGATTTATTATAAAGGATCAATTTATAAACATGCTATGTTTATTGTCCTTACATATTGTCTTTTATAAACTTTACGATAAGTTGGGCTTAGACGTTATCAAGATCTTATATTATTATCACAGATAAGATATTATAAGACTGGACAACATGGAAAACCTTTAAGGCTTACTATTATCTATATATTTTTTTCCTCAATTTTATGTTTGGCTTCACTTAACCGTCGTATTTGTTGACCATATACAAAGTATTTAATGCTTTAGTAAATCTGTGGGTAATGGTATGCTTAAAAAACTATACTCAACATAACGATATAAAATGTTAAAGTTAAGAATGATGAATTATTTTTGTATTGTTCATAGTCAATATATAACGGTTTTGCTGTGACCGGAAACTTACTAAATCACACAGATGACCAATTTTATAAAACGATTTTGTGTTAGGTAGTCCATCAATTTCTTCTGGTTGTTTTATTATGGGAATTACAAGTACTTATGCTCAAATTTATACATCAATGAATAAATATTGGTATTAATTTGCTCTGTAACCGTTTTTGGGCTATATATCTATAGATTGGGTACTATAGGCGAATTGTTTTTTTATGTAGTTAGTATTCAAAATAAAATTATTATATTATTTTAACTACAGCTAAATAATTTATTTCAAAAACTAAAGTATAGGATGTGCTATCAGCTCAATAATAAGTTATTTATTTTTATTAAATTTTACAAAAATTTTGAAAATGTTATTGGATTTTTTTTTTAATTTACTTATAGCCTTCAAATGCTAGTTCTTTAGTCTGCTAAAATTTACACCGTGTAAGGTTAATACAAAAAGTAAAAAAGAAAAGGTTATAGTGTTAAGTGATTTCAAAGTATTTATATTACATAGATTTAATTGTATCGTGCGTTTGTAGTAATTAGTTTGATTTAACTTAATGACTCAAGTTCAGTGGTCTTGAAGAAATAAATCATTTCCTCAAAACTGTGTTTCTTGCACCGTTGTTAGGCCGTTTGAAGTGAAATTTTTCTGATGTTTGTATATGTTTAGCGTTGATAATGATAACATTATTCCCAAAATATGATATCGCGATTTTTAAATCATTTAAAACAATTAAATTTAAGTTGAAAAGAGAAATAGTCGAAAAATTACTGTAATTTAAACAATTTATTTTTTACAAATTCTAGATAGATGAGTGGAGTGACTAGAGAAGATAGGATAAGGTACGAACATATAAGAAGTAGTATAGGTGTAGTGTTAATTTTGGATAATATGAGCAAAAATAGACTTGGATGGTTTGGTCATGGTATATGGAGAGAGGAATTGGAAGCTGTAAGAACAGTTATAGAAATGAATGTTGAAGGAAAAAGAAGTAGAGGATGACCAAAAAGGGATGGAGGGATATTATTGAATGCGATATGAGGACGGCTGATGTGAGCGTAGGTGATGTGGGAGATCTTGTCAAATGGAAGTTTAGGATAAGGGTAGCTGATCCCAAGTAGTTGGGATTAAGGCGAGAAAAAAGAAGAAGAGATTTGTTACAATTTCTACAAAGTATAGAAACCCTCTCATCAGAATAGATGCGATTTCGATATGTATGTGTAACTATAATTTTTATAACTTACTGAAACAATTATTAAATGTAATATGATCAGTTAATATTATAAAAAAATCATTAAATTTATTAAAATATAGAAAAAATATTAGTTAATCAACATATCTTACTTAGTATAATATTGAATCAATATTTAACTTATTAAGAAGTTAAAAATACATTAAATTTGAGATATCAGTTAATATTTTTAATTTAATGTATACTCAATATTAGAGTAATTAAGGTAATAAAAGTCCTTTTATTATACATGTTGATAATTATTTTCTCTTGTAATATATTTTTACAAGTTATTGGTCTTTATAAATGCTATAATTTTCCATTACATAACTTACTAGTTGTGAAAATATGTATCTAAAAAATACTTTTAACGTAATCTAAGAACTTGAAAATTGTTTAAAAAAATTACAACAAATGTTAAATTATATAAAAAGTTATAAAGTTGTTAGTTAGATTTGACAAACGGTCATTGTATAAAATGACTAAAACAAAATATGCCAAGTAATTTTTTTTTTTAATTTAAAAAAAATTAACCTAATTTATTAATTATATTTTTGAAAAGTCATTAGATTCGCATAAAAATTCCATTTAACTCCCCAATCCCTAAACACTTATAACTTTTTAAAATTAAAGTCTTATATTTACACTACCCAATTTAGTTTTTGTATTATATTTATGTACAACGATTGCGCATTGCAGTATAACGTCTGGTTTATCTGAGAAATAAATTTTTTTAAATTGCTGCTAAAAATTTGTAGGCAATTTATACATTAACTAGGTATTCTATTACAATGCCAGTATTTCTCGCTTATATAAGCTATACAAGTATGCTAACAATGTTGAAACAAAATGTCTTTATATGATTTTAAATGTTACGAGCTAATTTTCCATGTCAGCTACTTCATTAAAAAAACTACATGTACCTTAAATTACAATTACAATAAACAGCAATAAAATACTGTCACGAATTTTTAGACTAACAAATTATTCAATTCATTTTGAGAATCTAGATTAGTTTAAAATAATCAACTAAATATAAAAATATTTGTATATTTTTATGTTAATCATTTCATTCATTTTTAATTTATATTATGTATTATGCATAGTTATTGGAAAACAGATAATAGATACTTTTTATTTTAAACAGTTTATTCTATCAAATGTGTCTTCTAGATGATCTGAAAACACTAACTCAATAATATTTTAAAGTATAATACAGTATAAATTACGGCTAATAAATACGTATGTTAATACTTTTTTTTACAGAATTTAAATCTTTGGTTACAACATAGCTTCTCATTGTTTGTACTGTATACACATACATTTCAGTAGCAATCAAGACGGTTGATCAGCACAATAGCCCATAAAGAAATTAGACGTGTAATATGTGCAATCCAGCCAATGTGAGTATACAAAATTTTTTATGAAGCGCTTTAGCTTCGATGAGTAACTGAGAAGTTTTTGGTTTTACTATGTTTTCTTTTTATTTATTCATGTAAATACAGTTTTAATATTTTTAAAAGTAATTTATTTATATTTTTTGTTTATTATTATTCTATCTTAATTATAAAAATATTGATAACAATTAATAAACCTTGAATTAAACTTATTATAAAAAAAAAAACAGTAGAACATTTGTAACTTTATAGATTATCTTTTTATTATTTAAAAAATAAATATTTTATTTATGTTGAGTATTCGGTAAATTATCCAAAAGGATTTATTCGGCCTAGGTTTTAATATATTTTAGGGATTTCAGTACAAAACCCGGTTAATCAAAGATATGAATTAATTAAATTATTTTAACAGAAAAAATATTACAAAACCATTGAGAAATACATTTTTAAAGTATATCTAGTTAATTTTGAATAAATTTAAATAGAAATTAAAAAAAAAAAATTGTTTGAGGGTTTCATATGAATACCCTTAGATTTTTTTTTTTTGTTTTAGCATTTTTAATTTTGAAAATTTTTAATAGATTATAGTCCTTGATATAAGCCAATATAATAAAACGAAATTTATTAAAAAATCTTAATTTTTTCGATAAATAGTTTCATTTAACTTGAAAAAATGTATTTGCTATTTAGAAATTCAAGTATCTCACTAATGTTAGACTATTTTCAAAAGACAATCATATGGAATTTAATGAGATTCCTGGACCAAAATCATTACCATTTATCGGAACTTTGTATAAATATATTCCTTTTTTGGGACCTTATAAATTTGACCGATTGCACATGAATGGATTAGCAAAATATCGTCAATATGGTCCTGTTGTTCGAGAAGATATTGTTCCAGGTGTTTCTTTACTGTGGATATTCAAACCAGAAGATATAGAAACTCTTTACAGAAATGAAGGAAGATACCCAGAAAGGCGAAGTCATCTCGCTTTGCAAAAATATAGGTTAGATAAACCTAATGTTTACAGTACTGGGGGTTTACTACCTACGTAAGTATCTTTAATATGTAAATAAATGTAACTGTTTATAGCTATATTCCTATTTTATAGAAATGGTCCTGATTGGTGGAAGATTAGAAAAGCATTTCAGAAACATTTAAGTAAAGTCAAATGCGTTAGACAATATATCAGTAGTTCTGATACTGTTGTTAACCAGTTTATTGAACAAAGGATGAGGTCCAAAAAGGACATTAAAGATTTTACACCAGAACTGTTGAGGTTATTTTTAGAGTGTAAGTATTGAATAAACCATAAATAAATTTCATCCAAAAATATATTAAAAGAAGTATTCTAGACTATATATGGGATTCATTTGAAAAGAACCTATTTACAATAAAAATTAATTAAGATACAGTTTTTTGTCATAACAATATACTTTGGTACCATTATACAGGGTGTTCAGTATTTATATGTAATTTTTTTATATAAATATTACCAATTTTATTTTTATAAATCCAATTTCTATTATCAAAAAAGATTTATTCTGTTTTTTTTATAGTGACTTATTTTATTGCGTTTGATGAAAGGCTTCAAGGTTTTAATGACCATGAATGGAAAACAAATTCAGATAGCTCAAATCTAATTAATGCTGCTCAGAAAATCAATAGTGCTATTCTTAAAACTGATAATGGACCACAACTTTGGAAAAAATTTGATACGCCAATGTATAATAACATTAAAAAAGGACATGAGTATATTGAAAAGTAACTATTTAATTATTTCATAAAGAGTGTTCATTAAGTAAGGAAACAGATCAGTTGTTACAAAAAATGATAACAATAGAAACCAGTTTTTTTACTTACTCAACACTGCTTAACTAAACCCTGCAAACTAAGGGATACTTATTTCAAAAAGCTGTTGATCTAGGTAAAATAGTGTTGTCATAGGTAATTTGTGCTGAAATATGTGTTGGATAAGAGAAATTGAAAACTTGCTTAAAATATTATTATGTTGTTAGTATATTTATTATTATTCTTTCTTTTTTTTTTTTGCTTTTAGCCCCATTAAGGACCATAGCTACTTTTCTCAAAAAAGGAGGTTTTCTTAACGATTGATTCTTTTGACGGATGGTTAGTCCGTCACTGGAGAGTATTTATTTTATTAAATAAGAATATGCGCAAGAATACATATTTTTTTTTTGTATTATAAAAATAAAAATCTTTGGAGTTATTGCCCGTTTGGTTATTTAAATTCGTGGTTTTAACTCGCATCCAATAATTTAAACATACTTTAAGTGAACTAAGAAAATTATAAAAAGAAAAGATCTAAAATAATCAATAAATCATTTAAAAGATGACAGGGTAAACTTTTAAAATATTTTTATGTATAGTGTTAATATGAGTTGCAAGTGCGCTTTTTGACGGCCTACAACAACGTGGTTTGCCGCTTGCATAATGACTAGCTATGATAATTAGGGTCGCCACCACCTAGGCGAGGTTTCAAAAAGAAACATGTGCACTCTAGCACTGTCAAAGACAGAAAAAGGGAGATAAAGAGCCAACACCGATCTAACGGAAAATTTCAAATCGATTACGGGAAGGGGGTATATTTTTGAATCATCCGTTAACAAACGTATACGTTCGGATTTTATTTTACATTGATTTATATGACACGTCATGAACACGTTCGGAACGTATAAAATATCGAACGGACTATTGTTTAGAACAATAGGAAAATTCGTTTACATTGAATGTTAGGAACCATCAAATAGCGAATGGCGAGTCATTCATAACACTAAAAAGGTTTGACCCTTATACTTACCTTTTAGCTAAACATAATTACCTAAAATATAATTTTAAATTAACATTGTATTTAATTATCTATTATATTAATTAATAATATAAAAATAAATAAATAAAATAAAATTATAATATATGTAACACTTTATTTTCGAAAATTTAAGTATTGTTGTCTTAAGTACATTAATAATTTTTAATTTAACATGTATGCAATTGTACATATATTTTTTTTTAGAATTCGTATAATTAAATTATTTATATAATTTTGGCGAATTACTTAAACTGAATTCACATCGAGTGAATTAAATTAACAACAAATTATAAATGCGTATGTGTTGGTGATAAATTATTGTTATTAAAAAGTAATATATATTAATTAAAAATAAAGTTGTATAAATTTAAAATTTAAAATATTTATTTATATTAGTACAATAAATTGCAAACAATCGTGAAACATAAACGTTCATCGAACAATACCTAGAAGGCCATATACCTAATAGAACAATAGAATCCGTTTAACGAACGCATACGTTCGACGAACTGGCGATTCAAAAATAGGCCCCCAGGTGTTTTTAGGAGTGATCAATACCGATGAACAATTTGATTTTAATTATATTTATTTTCTTTTGTCACCTTATCTAGTGTTCAGCGATAAAAATGAATTGTTGACATCGTTGGGTCAGAAAAAGGATTATTCGCGGATTTGGTTATGCGATAAAAAAATAAATAAGTAGATATAACAAAAAATGATTAACGGTCCACCTTAGAATTTGTGACGTTCCATAGTGTATTATTGTGTATATGAGGATAACTGATGTGAGCGTAGATAATGTGGGAGATTGTGTTAACTGGAAGTTTAAGATAAGGGGGCCGACCCCAGTTAGTTGAGAAAAAAGAAGAAGAAGAGTTTTGTTATAAGTTTATCATGTTTAATTAAAATCTAGTTAAGAAATCCTTGTGTCTAAACAAATTTAAGTTTTATCCTTTGTAATCTACAGAGGATTTAAATTAAGCTTAAATAGGATTGATGAGTGATTTTTAAAAATTAACGAATTAAAATCATATTTTTTATATTTTGTTTAAGTATTTGCCTTTATTTGAGTATATATATTTTTTTAAATCTGACCATTCTGAGCCACAGGAAAGGATTCAAAATAGCAACTTTTGCATAAAACTTAAACTTTTTCAATTTAAGTTCCCGAAATACTGCGTCCTGTCAATACTTGTAAAATTAAAATGTTGTGTTATATACTATAAATTAAAAAAAAAATGTTTGTGCCGACGACTTATCTTCTACGTGCAAATAGCTGCCGTAGTAAGAATCATGCTATTTTTGTGTTAACATTTTTGATTTTATATCTTCTATGTGCAAATGGCCATTGAAGTTAAACAAATTTATTAAATATTTAATAAATAAATTTAAACTCATTTATTATACTAGTGTAACATAAAACTTGTAATTAGGATATAAATAAAGGAGTTCGAGTTCATTTTACTTTTGGAATATTCCATCAATTTCTTACAATTAAACACTACTATCTAGAGATATCTAGAGATTTTGCATAGAAACGTTTCTTATAATTATGATTTTAATTACTGTCAGATATCGTCTATACTTATCCCAACTATTCCAAGTTTATCCTGTACTATCGTGTTTTTTATTTTTTTAGAATTGCTCTACGAGTAATAAAGAAAAAATTGTCGAATTCGAGTAGGGAAACTTCAGAATCCAAAATTAACGTGTCATTATTAGATGAATATCTTCGTTCAGATGAAACAAATGTCAAAGATGTGGTGGGCATGACTGTAGACATATTGTTAGCAGGAATCGACACGGTAAAGATAAAACTATTCTTTAGTATTCTTTTTACTAAGTTTGATAAACCCAAATAGGTTACATATTCGTGTTGTTTCGCTTTATATCACTTGGCGAACAATTTGAATGCACAAAATCAAATGTATGAGGAAGTATGCTCGCTTTTACCAAATTTTAATACAAAAATTACTGAAGAAATTATTGAACGAGCTATATTTACAAAAGCTGTAATCAAAGAGACATTTCGGTTAAATCCTATATCAGTAGGTGTTGGAAGAATATTGCCCGTCGAATGTGTATTTTCTGGATATAAAGTACCACCAGGTGTAAGTTTATTTTAAAATATAATATAAAATAATATAATTATTTACAAGAGGTGAATTAAATATGTGGCTATTTTCCAATAGCTTAGATGTTACTGTTCGAATTTTTTTAGTAGAGCATAAACAAAATTGAATTAAAATGATGTTTTAGCTTATAATTGACATATTTAAAAAACAAAGAAAAAACCTCAATAAAATTGAATTGTATTTTTTTGGCATATGATAAGGAACATCTTTCTGTATGTAAACTATAAAAATCCTACTTTGCGTATATCAGTTTTTGGATATTAGTTTTAAAAATATTTATACTTTTATTGTTTTGATTAAATATTAAATAATAAAAAAAACTATGATTTATAAAAAATTATAATAATTTAGACTGTAGTTGTAACCCAGAATCAAGTCACTTGTCGAATGGAGGAATATTTTTATGAGCCAAATACATNTCACTTGTCGAATGGAGGAATATTTTTATGAGCCAAATACATTTTTACCCAATAGATGGATAAAAGACAAAATCGAATATACGCCAGTTAGTCCATTTCTTGTACTTCCCTTTGGTCATGGACCTAGGACATGTATTGCTAGACGTCTAGCAGAACAATTTCTTCAAATTGTACTTATAAAAGTAAGATGATAATAAAACTTATATTTTTAAAATTAATCTATGTTGTCAAAACTATTTAGATTGTTAGAAATTTTGCTCTGACATGGATTGGGCCAAGCTTAGATAGTAAATCATTACTCATTAACAAACCAGATGGTCCAATTCAACTTCGACTTCAAACAAGATCTACTTAAAAAATTTTATAAAAAATATAATTTATTTAATTAATAAAAATTATTGGAATGAAGTGTAATTAATATAAAGCTTTAAAAAACTTTTATTAGAATTAAATTTCCAATACTTAATTTAGCCAAAGAAATAAATATAAATATTTAATAATAATATAAATATTATATGTAGTCCTAAACATATTATTAATCAAATATAAAAATTGCGCATAAAAATGTTACTGTCTAAGACTAATTATCGTGACTCAAAAAAAAAATATCATAGCAAAAACAATACTTTTTTACCTATTCTATCGAAATTAAAAATGTAATGAAAATAAAAATTATTAAGTTTGTAGCATAGGATTACATATTCCGAATACACTCTATTCGGTTCAACATTAAAATAATCTAAATTTAATGGTATTTTATTAAGAATAATTAGTGACTAAATAAATACAGTAATATATTTATGGCTAAAAAAACAAACAAAATATGATAGTAGATACAAGCTAAGAACTATTATGAATTAATTCATTAACATATTTTTATATTGAAATAATCCAAAAATTGTATGTTTTGGATATGATGGAGGTTCTAAAAGTTTTGAAAAGGAGACATTTATGTCCATGAGAAGTTTGGCGAATAATGAGTAAAACTATTGAATGGTTGACTAAATTCATGTTTATATTTAATTTTTCCTTCATTATGCTTACACGGTTTCATATGAAGGACACCTTGATGACCGCTTAATNAAACAAAATATGATAGTAGATACAAGCTAAGAACTATTATGAATTAATTCATTAACATATTTTTATATTGAAATAATCCAAAAATTGTATGTTTTGGATATGATGGAGGTTCTAAAAGTTTTGAAAAGGAGACATTTATGTCCATGAGAAGTTTGGCGAATAATGAGTAAAACTATTGAATGGTTGACTAAATTCATGTTTATATTTAATTTTTCCTTCATTATGCTTACACGGTTTCATATGAAGGACACCTTGATGACCGCTTAATAAATTATTATTATTANATATAATGGTTTATAACCAACTGTATGTGATTGAATCACACTACTTAATGTTAAACTTGATGGAGGCTTAATTAAACCTTGAAATTTCCCAGATTGAGGTTTGATAATACTACTCCATACTACATTTGTAGGCGAATACATAAGACTGTTATGTGGCTTTGTAAAATCAAAAGAAGGCTTAGTTATACCTCCCCAAGTTACGCTTGTTAATTGATTAGAAGAGCCTTGTATTGGTTTTACTAGTCCAAAAAAGGGTTTATGAATGCTATCTAATGTTATACTAGATACTTGATTTGAAATGGTGTGTCCTGGTTTTGGTTTTGATTGAGTGTTTTCTTTACAAGGTTTCGGTTTTGCAATTCCTTGTACTGATTGAACTTGATTTATAGAAGGTTTAAAACCAGTAAACCAAGCTAAACTTGAAAGACTTACTGAACCATGATGAGGTTTATAAGCACCACCAAATGAAACAACTGAAGGACTTAATGAACCGACAACTGAACCATGATGAGGTTTATGAGCACCACCAATTGAAACAATTGAAGGACTTAATGAACCGACCACTGAACCATGATGAGGTTTATAAGCACCACCAAATGAAACAACTGAAGGACTTAATGAACCGACAACTGATCCATGATGAGGTTTATGAGCAACACCAATTGAAACAATTGAAGGACTTAATGAACCGACCACTGAACCATGATGAGGTTTAT